GGAATTTTATTTAAAATATAATTCTAAAGAATGAATTTTAACTAAATCGCAATGCCGTATCTTTGAAAGTGATATAAATTTGTAGCAGATTTGTTTGTGTAGTGTTCTTTTTAGTTGGTAAGTGTTTAAGCTGATAGGATATGCAACTTTCAACTATTCATAGTGACTTGTGGTTAACGGTGCTAGTTTTGTAATTATAAAACTGTGTACATCATATTGTAAATTATAACGCTATTGAAAAACTGTTTGTCGACCCAAATACACAAATAAAATATATTTAAAAAATCCTTTTTGTTTTGCATTCATATAAACAAAGAGGTCGGTTGATAAGAATAACATATACAACCGCCACAAAGGTATATCTACGGATATCAAATTCAATATTGGTCAAAATATCAAACATCACTGCTGTTTATGAAATTATATTGAAAGCTCACTTTAATTTTTGCAATATTACATTAATTACAACTGGCTTAACATACGAAAAATATTTGCTCATTTGCTGGCGCACATGATGAATTATAAATTATTTGGAAACAGGCGTTTTGGGAGGTCAGTTTAAATTTTAAAATGGCCAGACAACAGTGGGAAATTCACGGGCAAATAATGAGGGACGAATTAAAAATGCAAAAATTGATTAATGGACCGTAGCGGAGCAAATATGTGCTTAATAAGTGTGTCGTTATCGAATGGTTTTTGTCCTGGTGTCCATGATTAAATTATTGTTTGACTGAAATATACTGTTAATTATCCAATATTGATCAGAGCCTGAACGCTTTTTAGGATATATCATGATATTTACTTATAGTTGATTCATATTATTGATGTTGTTATACTACTAATATATTAATTTCTAACACATTTTAGAGAGCAAGAGAATTGCAAATTGAAAATCCTTTTGAAGGGCTATGTGAAGAATGTTAAGGGATATTATCATGAAACAATATTATTTAATAAATATCTGGTGATGGTACTTGAGCTGTTTTTATTTTCGATATCGATTCAGCGTTGAAATTAAATCATTAGACATACATTATTTGTGACTACTTACATTTATGATGGGGATATGTTCCTTGTTTCTTAAAAGATTTAATGACGTTTAGCAATGTCATAAAATGGTGTTTCGTCCAGCAAATATGAATATATTTTTTATTGCTTATTAGAGTTGGAGGACAGTTTCGAGATAGTATAATTTTGTTTCATTTCATGTGTGGCTTAATGAAACATCCGAAAGACCCCGCGGCTGTTTGCCGGCAACTGTGATATTAACAACATTTGGAATCGTTGCAAACTAATTAACACTTAGAGCTAAAATGGTTTTTAATATGATTTCGCTTTACTATTTTTATTATGTGATTTTGTTTATTATCTACATGTTTTTTTTTTTAAATAGGAGTGTTTTATTTAAAAGGTATGTTAAAAACATATTTTATAATAGACATTAGTCTTGGAACATATTGCGGATTTGAGGTAAATTTAAAAGAAAAGTAACTATAGAATGTGTTATAGATATATAACTCTATATTAATAATCCGATGGTGTTTCGAGAATATTTAAATCTTCTAAAACCCTAGGAAAAGTATCAAATCTATACTAATATTATAAAGAGGAAGGATTTGATTGTTTGGTTGCTTGCAATGAAAAGGCTCAAAAATAATGGTACCGATTTTAAAAATTAGCTACATCATACCTTTGTAGGTGTTGTAAGCTATAATTTACGCCGGTGAAGTCGTGAGAAAACAGTTACTTCTTCATAAAAATAAAAAATAACATAAAGACGTATAATATACATAAGTATTTAGTTGATAATAAAAACTAACAGTTAATTATTTTACATACCAACTGTCTCAGTTTATATATGATGCTGATTTTTTAATAACAACTAGTATTGTTTAATTAAAAATAGTGGCGTCGTATTTATCGTCCAAATCGGATGGCTGCGATTCCCGCGTTACAGTTATTAACGGTAAGCGTTTCAGCAGACCATTAACAGGGGCCAAACTGAACCGCACACGGTAGCGTGCCAAACGCATATTAGATGTCATAACTGAGCGCCCAGCACCGACCTTACTCCTGTAGGTATATTACCATTGGGCACAATCATTCGACCTTTATCTTGTCAAAACTACTATTCTTTTAAAACAAAAAATCTATTGCGTCATTAGTTTTTTAAGCACTTTTTTCATGTCAATTGTTTTCATTATTATGATTTGATTATTATGATGAAAACAAAATTCATACCATAACAAATTATTCTCAATCTTCTGGTTATCGTAGTTAAATTCCGTACCCAAAAAGTCGTAGAAGTTTTTAAGCATAATAATATCTACTTATCACTACCACGAATTATAAACTCTTTTTTATGTAGATGTCATAGATTATATTTACATTGGATATCGATTTGTCTTACTCCAACTCAAATAAAAAATAATATCAAAGAAAAAACTCACTATAAATTCCTAAATAAAAAAAACTAATTAATAAATCTTATCGAGAATCGAACTTCAGCCAGCGTAACTAGTAAAAATTGTACCACGTTGACAATCACAGGACAAATTGTGTTCTGTGGTTGACAATAGAGATATTGAATATTTTTTCTTATGGCTAATGGACCTAATCTTGTTAGGAATAAACCAGTGCATAAACGCCGCCATTCCATAGAGCGATTGGCTCGATAACGTTGCGCATGCAACTGAGCCTCTAAACACCGTTAACTTGTGAATTATTAATCTCCTTATCGAGTAGTGAACATGACCGCCGCTATGAAAAATTTAATAAATCGCATACGAGATTTATAACGCACCACTTTCATGATGTTGTATCCTTTTATTGCATCGCTACACGATATTTTCAACCTACAGTAGTTTGAAAATAGCATAACAAGGAAATAGCTTGAAGCAGATAGATAATATTACATTATTTTAAAGTGTTTTCCAGAACATTTCCCAGCTATTTTAAAACTATTGGTTGGTAATTAGATATGAATGAATGAGCTATATTACATGCTTTTTTTCAACTTTTAATAAATTGTATTAATTACTTGATCATCTTATTTTCGGATATATTGTCGACTTATTATATTATCGACTTAAGAGCAACATTTTTAAATATGAATATAAGGTATGCAATGATACCTATGTAATAAGTAGTACAATTTACATATATAGTAATTTTAACACAATTGTTTTATGTTTTGTATAGGCATGGAAGATTTTGTATTTTTTATATAGGTATATACGTCATAATGATACCCATTATGACTAATAAATGTTTCCACGATAAGACAAATGACATGTGTTAATAGATGATTAATTGTAAACTAAACAATATGTATTTTTCGACAATTTTTTATCAAATAATATTTTGTTATCTTCTTATGCATTGCTTTAGATTAAAGATATTAATTAGGACATTGACAATTAAAAAAAAAAACTCAAATATCATTTTTTTCCTCATGATCTTATCATTCGAACTACGATATCTTAATGTCATAATATTAACATCATTAAGATTTCCTATAATTTCATCTCGTTGGTTGTGTACCTTTGTTGTTACTTATTACGTGAAATTAAAGTTTTTAATTTTTTTAATTAGTGTTGGTGATTTAATTTGTAATAGGTAATCTTATTGTTTAGGAAATATTTATATTTGATAATAGCGAAGACTTCATGTCAATTTCCATTTCTATTCATAAATAATCGGTTTGTGTTTTTTACGTTAAAGTTTTAACTCCTAAAGTTAAGAATCTAGAACTGGTGGTTGGGTCTAACATTGATCGTTTTACAGGAACGACTTGTCCTTTCCACGTCTTCCGTCTTACACAGTCTAATGTTTATACTATATAAAAATTTGTTCTTATTATAATTTTTGTTTAGAAAGATAATGGGTACTTTGAAGTGTACTTCCCATTATTACTTTTGCGATAAGCCACAATCATGTAATAGTCATTGATAAATCGAGGATTCTAGCGTGTTATGACTCACTTTTTTGAAATATAGAATTAACATTATAAGCGAATATTTCTTTGATAATATTAATATTTTCAAATGTTGTACAAAAATCGTTGATTAAAGTTACACAATTTATTTGAGTTGATTTTTAAAACTATCTAAATAATTTATGATTTGGTTACACTATATATTGGTCAAAATAGTCAAAATGTAATACGGCAGCATTGAGAAATTCATAACGTCTACCTGTGTGATATAATATATATGTCGTTGAAGTCTGTTTAATTAATTTTACATGAAGAAATAATGAAACTAAATACGTATTACTCACTATTATTGTACAATCCTCTGAACTTTTTATTAATTTATTTATCTTTCTAAAGCAAAATGTGGTATATAAATATTATTTTAATAAATTTTGGTAGCCGTAAGTACCTCCGTCACCTTAGGGTTGTAGCTGAAAGTAAGTTTTAGGTACCTTTTGCCTATTATCATATAAAAATATTAAACAACATCACATACACATTGCTCAGATTCCAAGAAGAGTAGCTAAAGTTCCCGTATTATGGAATATCTGAGACAACGAAGGTACTACAATACCCAGACCGAGACAATATAGAAAAGTTAATTTTCTACAATGACCCGACTAGGAATTGAACCCTGGATCTCAGATGACAACACCTTGAAACCGGCATGCGAACCACTCGGCTACGAGGCAGTACAATGCTGAGATGAAGGCCTATATAGCATCTAGTTTTGTCACGTACGTTGTTGTTTTAGTTTTGTAGTTAACCTTGTGCAAATAAACTATTGTTCTATTCTAATACCGAACTTGTTTTAATAATGTTGCCAATATATACGTTGTCAGTAAATATAGTCAATAATAAGAAAGTAAGTGTAAAATTTACAAAAACATACTCTTTTTTTTTAAATAATAAAAGTAATTTTGATCTCATATAAAATGGAGGTGATAAAATTTTGTGAATATCTTAAATAGTAATAAATAAATAATCGTCAGCTTTAACTTATCGTATCCACCCTATATTAGTTAAAAGATAAGATATCAAATATCAATTTATAACAATGTAGCTGAATCGGCAATAGGTATCGGATAGTTTACAAAATGGGTTGTGTTGAAGTACTTCTAAAAATTCTCTTGTTTATTGTGAATTTTGTGATCGGGGTAAGTATTTTATTTATTATTAATATACAGAAATGTATTGTTTCATTAATTGCTTCAAATGGTCGGATCATAAAAAGTTTTTATTATGAGAATTAAATATTATCACAAGAAGCGAAAGAAAAAGTGCACCAGCAATTATATGTTCACGTTTTACATTCTAAGATATCAGTTGGAAAAAAGACTTCCAGATAGTGAAATCTCATGTTCCGATTGCCGACTCAAAGTGCCTGAATGCATTTCTTAGCTGTCAAGCCTTTTCAGCAGAGCGAAGAAGGGGTGTGGTTTTTCATTATGATAACGCTAGACCTGATTTTGCCACTCAGCATAAATTAAAAGAGTTCGGCTGGGAGGTGTTAATGCATCTGCTCTATAGTCCTAAACACATTACGCGAGGACTGCCAAAACCACTTGTCGCGGTTTTTTTTCAGAAGCCTTAAAATTTCTGTAGATAGGGGGATAGATAATAATGGGATAGATAATGTCACTACCTAGAAGACGGCAAAAAATTATCTAGCAAAAATTTTCCTATATACTTTAGTTAAATATAAATAAACAGTAATAAATTTTCATATAAAATACGAAGTGACTTTAATTTGTATGTTTTTGTCTAATAATGCAAAATTTATAGTCGTCTTCCTTTTTCAGATTCTTGGTCTAGTAATTGTTGCAGCTGGAGCAATATTAGCATATTTCCGTAACTATATTGATTGGGACGTCACACTTATAGTTGCAATAATTACGATTATAGTTGGTTGCGTATTATTTATTATCGCGTTATGTGGATGCTGCGGTGCCATCGGTGGTATACCATGTTGCCTGATATTTGTATGTATAACTTTACCGATTAATTATTTGTATTAAAACCATAGATAACAATTGTAAATAAGAAGTATTTTTTATATATTTCAGTATGGAATCTTCATTATTCTACTAACGGCAGTAAATATATACGTCGTAGTTGTAGTATATATAAATAAAGATGCCGCGGAGAATACTATTTCAGACTTTCTCAATAAACAGTTTGAAGATCCCGATATGAGAAACACGTTCTACTTCATAGAGTATGTGGTAAGTTTATCTCTATAAGATTGTTAGAATCAAGAGAGCAATTACTTTTTTTAAATTCAGATTTTATTTAAATTTTGAACTCAACAAACGTTATATAATTTTATACAAAGGTATTTGGCAGATTGAATTACACTGTAAACAATATGAATATGAATTTCCATTTCTATTCATAAAAAAAAAACAATATTTGAATTTTTCCACCAAAATTATCGGAACGTAAACTGAAGCAGGTTGATTTTTTTTTTATCACAAGTACGTAATTAAGTAATTATTGATTTTTCTTTGTTTATAGTTCGGTTGTTGCGGAACGACGGGCGCTGATTCATACGATATAATCGAACTTACTATACCACCGACGTGCTGTCCTAATGCTAATTTTCCATCTCTAAACGACATCGGGAATATTGAAGATATGATAAACAATCTAAACGGTACTGCCGAGTTTTGCGCGAAGGAGGAAACTTTTAGTGGATGTTCACCTTTAGTGACAAACTTGTTCATTACGATTTTCGATGTGGTTGCCTGGATCTTGATTGGGACGTTGATCGTACAGGTACAGTTCCTTTTCTATATTTACGATGAAAAAAATCTTGGTGCTTTTAATGCCAGACGCGATCGTAAATAGAATTTCACAGTTCCTGTCCTACTCAGCATTTATCATTAATATGAGTTAGAATAAGACAGACGACGATCACGATGTATTATTTTTATTGGTACGAGTAAATCAATTACGATAGTTTATGGAAACTGAGGAACTTACATTTCATACTGAGTAAGCACTGAAGATGAATGTTTGTATTTAAGTTTCAAATGAATTAACCAAACACGTGGTTGTATTTTTAATTTTATTTTCACCAGTAAAAGTGATATACGGACTACAAAACTTTCCAAAGTATTAATAACGTAATTGTGTATTTTACATTTGTTTCTGTATTAATTAGTACCTAAAGAAATTGAAAGATTATTTTTATTTATTTAAGATTAACCTTTAGTTGTTCAGAATATGAATATATATATATATGATATTATTCAACATTTATTTTGTTATTTTCAGGTGATAGTGATAGTGTCTTCTTTCTATTTAGCGGGTAGCGCAAGAAAATACAGAGGAAAGGTAATCAGGCCATGAGAAATGCAATATTCACAAGCGATAGAAGAATTTATAGTAGCTAATTTTTGAAACTATTTAAAGATGGAACTGATATAGTTACTAGGGAGTAACGTAACGTAAAGTATACGTAGGGACGTATGTACACAGATATAGATAGATTATTTTTATATAACTTCACACAATAAACGTTATATGTAAATAGCTTTTACATATTACTTATAAATTACAAGATTTAATTTACTATATATCATTATGAAACTATAGAGGAAATAATATGTCTAAATTTTAACATTTTAATTTGGGTTTTGAAGTATATAAAGTCACCTTAATTACTCGTTAGTTAAGATGACTTCATCAAATATTCAAGTAAAAATGTTGGTAATTATTCCAAGATACCAAAGAATATTTTTAATACTAACTGAAATTATGTAGATTTAAACCAAAAATACTTAAGATACCTGTGTTTCGTATGGTATTTCATTTTGTAAATACATTACCTATATGTTAAGAGAATTAGTAATAAAATATGCTTATAAATATAACGGAAATGAAATTATGACTTAATAAACTATTTTTAAAGTAAACACATATTTGTTTTATTTACGACGACACAGTTAAGACACAGATTAAGGGAAGAATTATGTCAAATATTTCATAAATATACACAAAGCTTTAATTATAGCTTAGAAATTTTTAAACAATAATATATTTTAGTGAATACAGGCAAGTTCTAGTAATGAATAGGTAATGATTACACGAAATTAACAACACAAAAACCTATACGATTATTGTAATATTAATTAATATATCTGGTACTTGAGAGCGGTATTTTAGGCTAGATCAATAGCCCATTTGATCTTTCACTGACAGTGTTGTTAATAAACAAGGTTTAGCGTTGGAGTTAATTTACGCTGAGACTGCACTCAGTATTAATTAAAATATATATTATTAACCAGAGACTCAGCAAAAGTTAACCTAATACCCGTACTATTACATATTACGTTTACCGTTTAAACCCCGAACCCCGGTTCTACAGGTGTAATATTTACTCCTAGATGGAAGTAGGTATGCTTATTCTTTGTACAATAATCACCATGTTCATCAGCCCTTTATTTTGTCCCCACTGCAGGGACTCAGGTCTTCCTTATGAATAGTTAAAGAGCATGGGCCATAACCCTCCACGCTTTAACGACTGCAAGTGCAGCCGGGACCAACGGCTTAACTTGCCTGCCGAGGTATGGAGTAGCTGGAGATAATTTTTTTTTGGTCACCAACCCTTGTGAAGGTTGCTTAACGACATCGATCGCGTGCCGCGGCGCTTATCCACTACGCCACCGAGCTGATTAAAAAAAATTCCAAATTATTTATTCAGTCCAGGCTGTTACAAGCACTTGTGAAAGTCGAGAGCTACGCCATCGGTTCGTACCGAGAAGAACCGGCAAGAAACTCGGCAAGGGCTGCTTTTTTCTCCCTGTTTTATTTCATACAGAGCGTCAAGATTGAAAGACGACTTCATTAAAATATGTATTCACTTTCCATTACAATATGATTAATCTAAATGCATATCTCCATAATATGAATTTTGGATTGATACCAAAATTTTAATTTTAGTAAATTTGCTCTGACGCTGAACGTCGTTTATAAATACCACTGTAAAAGTATAGTCTAAAATCAAGTACATACTTAACAATATATCGATTGGTTTTCGAGCGATATTATTTTGGATTTTATACTTGTTGTTTTGGTGTATCTGTGCTTGTGCTGTGTTGAGAAAAAAGGATGCCCGCCAGGATACTTTTCCCTGGAATGACCTATTTATCTTCACAGGTTTTTTTAATTAAGAAAATTGTATAAACCTCCTTTAGTTCAACATCTTCACTTCAAATAACGATATCGGTGGTTTAGTGGTTCGGAACGCAGTTTCATAGCGGCGCCATATCTGAAGTCCCGGGTTCGATCCTAATATAGAAAATTCCCTTTTTTTGCCTCGGGTTGGTTTTGTGATACCTCAGTTTCTTCAGATAGAAGTAGATAACGCTACTTAATTTTGAATCTGAGTAATGTATGTGATTCTGTTGAATATTTGACGGTAAATAAACAACTTATTACATTTACTTAAAATATTATGTCGTTTTCTCATTTTGTCTTAAAAATACATGGAAAAACACTGCTATCTCAGATACCTAACCGGAGCAATGGACCTTTGCGAATCCAGATCTCCAGTAGCTCACTTGATATTCCTCTGGTTAGCAAAGGGTAGTTGGTTCGAGTCTATCCTGGTATCTAAAATAATCTTTTACAATTATTTTGAACGTTAAGTAATATGTTGACATTTGTGAAATCATGTATTCAGTCGGACGAAGCCACGGCCGAAAAAGCTATTTATCGCATAAAAACCACTTTTAGTTTCCATGTATTCATTCCAATTTAGTATTATCTCTGCGATACGGACATTAACAGGATGTTCTTCAGTTTTGTGTAATATTAACTATACAGTTAAATATTGGTCAAGTGCTTAGGGTTTGACTCGATTATCAATTGCTTTAGTAACAGTATCTTTCTATTTTTCTTCAATTTTTTTCAACAACAAGTTTCCAGTAATTATGATCATAAATAATTATAATCTAACTCTTACCTATGTGAGTCGTGCCAGAGTAGGTTTTGCCCGCGACTTTGTCCGCGTGGTAAAGTGACTTTGAGCAACATTTTCAAAAAAGCTAAAACAAATATTTATTCATTATATCGTGTAAAATAGCTGACACTTAGACAAAGGGGAACTTCCATACAAAACTTTGTTTTCATATTTCAATCCTTTTATCACAATAAAAAAGTGACTTATATCATATTTCAAGTCAACTCCGGTTCGTTCACTCTGGTTTAGTGATGCGTAAGAGCGTAACAGACAGACACAGACTTACTTTCGGATGTTTTATATTAGTATTGAATATTTAAACAATTCTTGTTAATAAACAATTATATTAAACAATTAAACAAACTGGATTAAACAATTATATCACATAATAAGAGATTACCAGACAGTAACCCTAATAAATAGACGAATAAAAATATAAATCACAATTGCTTGGCCTACTTCTTAACTCACATCTGTTTTTTTTTCATGTTCAATACCAAAAAATGTGTTTCGTAAAAAAATATTGAGGTTAATTCATAATGTATATGTCGTAAACACCTGGGTACAACTGTTAACACAAATATCCGTCCAATTAGGAGGCTAGCTCTTTAATAGAATAACGTCATTCATTTTCACGGCTAAAAAGAATTACATACCTATTTCATAATAATTTGATATATTGATATTTTTTTTTATATAATAGGTAATACTAAACATATTAAATATTATTATTAGCTTACCTTTCGCAGCTCGAGATAATAAATTTTCGGTCACCCATCTTATAACCAGCTCTTGCGAAAGGTGCTTAATAGCTGTATCACAGACCGAACTCGCTAACAGACTGTGCATAAAGCATTCCCATACATAAAAAAAGGTTTGATTTGTTAAATGAAAGAGCGCTGGAGTATAAATAGCGTGTTCATGTATGAGTATAAATAAAACCTTTAGTCTTTATAATATTATTAAGATCTAATAAAAAGAAATGCTCTCCTAAAACGCGTTCTTAGTCAAAGTTTTCTTATCAAATATAGTTTTCACATTCCCAAAACAGATCACCCTTGCATACGTGCCGTTACGGTCAAATACAGATTACACATTTATTTGTAGTTGGATAGAGTAAGCATGACATTGGCAATCGATAATATCATAAGCTGTAATTTACAAAAATGGGTTGTACCGATTTCATAGTGAAATATGCGTTATTTGTTGTGAATTTTACTCTGTCGGTAAGTATATACATTTATTTTATGGACGTCTGGAACGTGAGTACATATTGCATATCAGGCACATCATTGGTCAAGATATCAGAAAAAGTAAAATGTCTGCAATTATTTTTACACTGTAAAATTAATTTTAATAATTTGTTTAAGTTTTGATTAATCGCACGATAGGAAGATCTTAATTTTATTAAATATACAATATTAATCATCTTCAGATTTATTTGTCAAATATATTTTTACAGATTTTAAATACAAAATTTTAAATAATTATTTTTGTTTTAGATGGTCGGTTTATTTTTAATAGGAGTAACATCATTTTTCATTGTATATGCAGTAGCATTAGCTAATATTATTGAAGACGAGGATTATGATTCGGACAGATTCATTTATGTTACTGTACTGGGCATTGTAACTTTTATTATTTCGTGCATGGGCTGTTGTGGAGCGATTGCTGAGAAACCTTCTCTACTGAATATGGTGCGTTTTATTCATTATTTTGTTTACACACATTACAGATTCTATATAACAAAGTGGAAGGATTGCGATAATTGTTATCAGTGTAGATTTATCTTTCTACGGCTCAGTATCATTCTATCTGTGGCACCTATTGTGGATTATAGTTAAGATCTTTTGTTTTTCAAATGCCATGCCATGTTTATTTTAAGAAAAACTAATTCAATAATACATTTTCTGCATTGATGCATTGTACAGATTTTTCTTTTATATAATATTCATTTTTATACATTCTTATATAGATACAAGTAAAAAAGTTCTAATATAGATACAATTCAGATAACCACTGCTCACAATTACTATTCAACTTCCTCTACTCGTGTATAAATTCAAAATACGTGTGCTTACCACACATTAGTGCAACGCACACGCTGAGTAAATGCTAGTGTGGGTTAGGCCTTATCTTGTGGACAGTATTATAATTAAAAAAAAAACTTTTTTACAGTACGCCCTGGTGATGTTAATATTATCTGGTATTTCGTTATATTTTATTATATCCGTATATTCAATACTAAATGACTGGCAATACGCTTTAAAGTCTATGGAACGGATTAACGAAATTCCATTATACAGAAAACTTCTTCGGGCTATTGAAGCGCTGGTTAGTAACATTTTACATATATAAAAAATTGAAAAAAAAAGATCGATAAATTATCTCTGGAAAATGTTTACGATGCGTTTTCTTTACGGTAAAAAAGAAATCATGCAATGAGTGTCCGGAACGTCTAGTTTCCGAGCGCCTAGCATCCGGATCGCCTAGCAATAGCAACCCTAGAAATGTGCCGTCATGAGTCATCACGACCTAGAATCATCTAGGCACGATTACATAGGTTTACTTATACCATTACCTACGTTTAATTGTAGATGCAACATCTCGCTAAAGCTCCGTTGATCTACTGTTCAAAGTGACATATAGCCAATTAATTGTTTCATAACTCCTAACCAAATTACTATAAAGATACTAATTATATGAATGCCATTTATTTACTATTGCCTAATAAGATTAACATTTTAAAGACTTTATAAGAAGTATTTGTCTTTAATTGTTTGTTACATTTAATACATTGATGTTTGTCACTAGTATCGTGGGTATCAAAGAGTAGATTATCTGAAAAAAGTAGTAGAGCCAACAATGTGTCCGTCCATCTTAACATTAATGCAATGTTACCTTAATATTTTTTGTTTATTAATTTCAGGAAAAATGCTGTGGTACTACTGGTGCTGATTCATATAAAATATATGGTCTTGAAATACCGCCGACTTGTTGTCCGGGCTTAGATTTTCCTTATTTTCATGATTTAGACTCAATTATTCAAATTCAAGATATTCTTATTACTTACAACAAAACCGAACACACCTGCCTGGAAATCACATCGTATGATGGCTGCCTTCCATATATTAATGAATTTATTACCTTTTTTTACGATTTCGTAAACAATGTTAGCATAATTGTCTTAGCAACACAGGTAAATAAGTTAATAATACTATAGCTTTTATAACAGTTCACATTTTTAATATCTTTTTTTTTTCTCAGGTTATAGCGGCCATTTTTGCGTTTTATCTTGCTCAGCACATTAGAAATGAAGTTGCAGCAAAGAATTCGCCTAAGTCTTATACGCTACGGGTTAAAGAAAAAGTTTAAGACTTGTGGAAGTTCTAAAATATAGTTATTGTAATTATTGTAGGTGAATAAAAAAATATTTTTTGTTATTATTAACTTTATATTGCTATATTTATCGATTGAACCATTTATAATATAATAAATAAGTATACTTATTTTTTATTATTATTATATTTAAATAGTATGCAAGATTTTAAATTACTAATAATAAATTTCAATTTCGCCCTTTGGTTTCATTGTATTGTCTCCATATACGATTAAAAGAAACTTCATATAACCTATAAATATTTTAACATGAGCTGGGGCCTATTTCTCGAAAGGTACAAATCTCAAGATTATATTGATATATATATAATTTTTTTAAACTTGTGTTCCAAGAAACCCTAAAATTAATAAAAACAACTTTCAAAAATACACTTTACTTAATGTAATTATTGTGATCAATGTAAATAACAAAATCTTTCGAGAAATCGAGCTTTGCTATTTATAAAGAGTTTGATGTCATGGAAGCTTGTACCTTAGTTGAGGAGATATTAATATGCAGATAAGGATGATATGGTGGGTTGAAAGAAGAAAATTATGACAAGCCCAATCTGCCATACACTCGCATGATGACGCCGATCAGCAGAGCAATTCTGTAAAAATGTAATAAATTTTATTGATTCCATTTTTCATATAAAAATATGAAAAAACATTAATTGATTATCCGTGTCTCAGATGTTCTATTCCTATGTCATTTTAAAACTCACTTTACTTACGCCAAGAAAGTTATTACAAAGTTATTACACAATCACAGGGCAGCAGTGCTATGTTCTTCTGTGGTGCAATAAAATCAGCTTCAACTTTACATCGAGCAAAGCATAGAGGTTCAATTTATTCGATTGAACCTTTATGCTTTGATGCTGTTTTTATTAGAGAATAGCATTGCAGAAGGTACACCATTTATCAAAGGTGGGTTTAGTTATTTTATTATTGTTAGAATAATGGTCTAGTATAATACATTAGTATAATACAGTAAAGAACATAGCGGGCTATACAAAATAGTAATATTTTTTTCTATTGGTTTTGTAGGTTGATCTTTTATTTCGATCAACTAGGATAATAATCATTTATATATTATGCATTGTAATCAATTGACAAAATTATACACTTATTGGTGACCTGACGTGCAGCCGTGTGTACATTGCATTAAGAAGTTTTTGAATCATATTCTTGACACGTTACATACTTATACTACCAATAAAAAATTGTGCAATAGTGTAAAAAAACATATGATAACCCTATGGCAATAACTTTATAGCGTAAGTTACTAAAACACTTGTATTATGTATTTATTTATTTCAAAAACAAAATCGACAGCGATTCCTTATTTAGTAGTATAATTTTAGCATATCTCTTGATATGGATATCTGAAACAAAGTAGGTCTTCCCATATCCAAGACAATTTTATTTTCTTTATTAGCCTGATAAGCACCCGGGATATCATGAGATGATGACACTTTGAATTCGGTGTGTGAGTAAAGTAATAAATTTATGTGGGCACTCGGCCACTTAGATCTTAAAGAACAATGGCCAAAATGGACTACGAAAAAAAAAGTTCTTGTACCAAGATGGAACTATTACCAAAATGTAGTATAAGTTGAATGTTATTATTATATACCAACAATTTATTTTTAAAAGCTGGGAAAAGAAAGATATTCCTCTCTGAAATAAGTCTTTATTTTTTAGAACGCAGTTTAAATTATGTTATTTTTGAACGCATCTTAATAATAATGTCATTCCTAGAGAAGGCCCTCTCTTTACAAAGAACAAGATCGATATTATTTCTGACTAATCTAATTTGATACAAATCTTATATTATTTACTAACCATATAAATCCATGAAAATTATAAAACTTCGATTAGATTAATAATATAATTAGATGTTTCCTAGAGGAAAATAGTTTATTTATAATGAAATTTAAAACTAATGATTATTCATAAGAATCGATATTACAGTATTCAATAATCGATTGCGACCTCCCATTTTTAGACAAGTAGGTGTGTCTACGCAGACCGTTTTGTAACTTTGGCGGCGATTTTGTATTTTTTTTATGTCCATTGGTTCACAAAAAATGATTTTATTTCTTACAGTTAATAAAAATAATATATCAGATATGGAGCAAGTTTGAAGTATTATGTGAAAGTATGCACTTCTAGGACCACTATTAGGCATTATCTGACGTGTGCTTTATATATTTCAACTGTAATACCTCTAACATACATGACATAACCTCAAAAACATACTACACAATTACTCGATACTCCCAGCTTTTAAAAATATATTTAATGTCTTTCTTTGTTCTTGTTAACAAACAAAATAACATATGTTTCATCAAGTTACGTTTTATTCGATTTTACTAGTCCAAGCATGTTAGGCAGATGGCCATTGTTCTTTGTTACCTTTCATACATTTGTTACCACAAATATGATATATTTGTATAATTTGATGAATGAAATGAAAGGAATACTTAAAAAATCCACTTTGTCTCTGGTACTGCATTCTTAGAGTACCATAGACAAAGTGGATTTATATGCATATTGTATGCATTAAGAATATTTTTCAGTATAGCATTGTGAATGCAAATTTGATCAAATATAATAATTAGAACAAATTTTTATTATAAACGAAAGATTAAAATATTTATAAAAATATTTCTTATTGGTAATTGGGTGCACTGCCTGAACATTGATGAAAATACGCTCACTAATAGCGGAAAGTAGCAAGTGCTTGGAAAATTCGTCAGTTTTGCTAGGTCTTGGTCTAGTCGCTCGTGGTCGGTGTACCTGGGACAAATATAATTTTTAAGTATTTTTTATTAAATTAAGTTATTTTATACTATTTATGATTCGTATAGAACAGAGGTTCCCAAACAATTTTTTCTCGTAAACCTTTTTAAAAATTTACTGGTTTCGGTGGACCCGGGTGCTGCTACATTTTAACCATATTCCCAAAATTCGTCCAAAATGTGAAGATCTAACGATGGAAACTGGGGTCGCGGGTGAGTTCCAACCCTAAATTCGGTGTAGTAATAATAATTTTCTTGCGATCAATTTTTTGAAATAATAATGATAACAGACTTAATAGAATTAAAATGAAACACTGATAATGTTACGTAACTTCAACAATGCAAATGAATAATAAAAAAATACCCATAATTTTAATGGGAGGGATGTACTTGATGGATTAAGGATTAACCGCAAATCTCCCCATTCTGTAATGTTTAATCTGCTCCTTTTTCTTCTTAATAGGTTTGTAAGGACACTAAAACTTTTTTCGACAAGGTATGACGAGGGAAACGCTATCAAAAGTTTACTCGCAATTTCCCACAGCCCTGGATATTCTTTGGGTATTTCTGCCCGCAGCCAAAAACTTTGATAGCCTTTTTTAAATTGCACCTTCAGCTCTTCAGTGGTGCTGAGCTCGAGCAGTTCCTCTAGTAATACCACATCCGCCACTTCCGTTTCAACAAATGGATTTATGATCCATGGTGGTATTTCCATCATCAATATAAGCCGAAATTATACTCTTTGTTTTTTAAATTTAGGCTATCCCCTTGTAACTGCAAGTTCATCATCATCATCCTCATCAGCCCTTTTACGACCCAACTGCAATCAGGCATTCCTTATGGATGGTTAAGGAGTATGGGCTATGATCCTCCACGCTGGCCCAATGCGGATTGGAGGGTATTAACGACTGCAAATGCAGCCGGGACCAACGGCTTAACGTGCTTTACGAAGCATGGAGTAGCTCGAGATAATAATTTTTTGGTCACCCATCCCGTGACCGACCCTTGCGAAAGTTGCTTAACGAAAACGATCGCGGGCCGCGGCGCTTATCCACTACGCCACCGAGCTACAAATACAAATCTAATAAATAAAAGTATTCTTTTAAATCTGTTTCTCAATTCATTAACAGATTTAATCACAAGTTGAAGCGATTGATGCAATCTATCACTCAAATTTTTCGCTACCAGGTGTTGTCGGTGGATGACACAGTGTATTGCGGTTACTCCTGATATTATTCTTTTAAGATGGCTTATAAACCCACGATAACGTCCGACCATTGTAAATGGAATCGATTTTTCCTGAATAAAATCACGCAGAAGCTTAAATAAAGTTTTCGCGAATAGCAGCTCTTCATGGATTTCTTCGTCTATAATAAATCGAACATATGCCAATAATAATGCTTCATTACCAAGTAAAGTTAACTCGTCCAGTAGAATAGAAAAATGAGTTGTTTGTAGATAACTACACAAGAAACTTTCAATATCAGAGCTCATTTCATCAATACGTCTTTGTACAGTGTCGTTACTTAAAGGAATTCTTTTAAGTACATCACGTGAAGGCATGTGCAGAACAGTTTTCAAAACCTCCTCAACAGTTGGTAAAATTAACTGTTCTCCGATGTTGTGCGGTTTCCTAGATTTCGCAATATGCAATGAGATATTGTAAGATGCCCGAAAGCCAACATCGTTACTTTGAGTCATAGAAGTGAGCATACTGTGCACGGTGGGTCTCTTTTCATATTTTTCCTTCAATGTTTGAAAATATTTTAAATCTTTACCTATTTTATCAGGATGACACCTTCTTAGATGGTCTTTGAGCTTCGATGGTTTCATAGAGTAATTGCTCAAAACTTTGTTGCACAAAGGCATGTCGGCAATCGTTTATCTGCCTTTGATGGAAGAAGACCAAGTTTCGTATTAGTTACCTACCTAAAAAAATAATCAAGTGTATAATATAGTATAGCTAGAATAATTTACTTTCTGCCAAGTCTTTTTATGTAAGTTAAGTATTTTTTGTAGGATGATTTCTTTCTGTATCATCTTACAAAAAAATTAAATAAGTATATAATTACAAACATGCAGGTCAATCATATATCCCTCCTTTAGTGAATGACTACAGCTGGGTAAATAAATAATTGTATAATAAAAAGTACAAAATAAATCGAATAATGGACCCGTTCAGTATTTTTTTTTTTTTAGGTACGTACTTCTACACGCAAACATAAAAAATATAATATTATTACATTCAAATAGGCAGGGAGGTACTTACTTTTCCGGGATCGGCAAACACTGACATAGATTCACTCACACTTTTCTCTTCAAAATTCTGGAAACAAATGCGTAACGTTATCTTAGCATTCGTATTTATATTGGTGAAGAATGAAACAAGTTCATACAAGATTGTAAACATAGAAGAAGTGGTATTTCGTAGCTGTGGACGTCTGAACAAGAATCGCGTGCAGGCGGGCAGCGGCGGCGCATTGCAAGTATCGACACGCGTTGTACTGAATATTGAAAAAGCAAGTTTTTACAAGTAACACACGCTGACCTTCTTACAATATTATCGCCTTCCTGAACATTGATATGTAGGTAAAGCCAAGCCAACATTTTTGTTCTTTACTATCAAAACTGGATAATTTTAATATAAGATTAATATTAAATTTTCGTGGACCCCACTTTCAACTTGTGAACCCCTATTTTTATTTCACGTCAACGTAGACCCCCGTTGAATCCCTCGTGGACCCCTGGGGGTCCACCTGGACCACTTTGGGAATCACTGGTGTCGAATTATCGGGTGCAAAATTTTACCTGGCATGTATAATTTACAAGCTTTTATTTAGTTTCACCTGTCCCGATGTTGGTCAATCCGAATCAAACATTACAAGCAGGTCTAATGATAGATCTGGAAGGCGGTCATAGGAACTCGGTAATTAACGACACAGTCCCATTGAGTTTGAACTCGTATGATTGTTTTGATAAGAACTTATGTTTTAAATGGTGGGAAACTAAAAAGTTAAAGAATAAATAAAAATAAAAAAAAAATCACTTGTAATATTAATGCAGTATTGAATTTTTTTCACAAGTCTATTTCTTTATAAATAAAATAAAATTTGAAAAAGAAGAGGCATGTTACTCTGTGGTTGAAAAAGAAAAATTTATGAAGGTTGAAATTGAAAAAACATTGAAATGTAACAAGCCTTAACTTATTAAAAAAAATGGTTATTTTTGTTTAATTTTAATTTTCTTATATTTTATCTAATAATAACACTTACAAGACTCAGTAACATTTGTTTTTTCTAAACTTATATTTACAAGTTTACCCTAGTTTGAGAATGTAAGCAAATTCTTACAAAATATATTTCATCGTATGCCTAGATATATGAAAGATAGAATCTAAAACTTTTTTTTCATAAAAAGTTTATATTTATACACAAAAGAATCATGTAAATAATTGCGAATATCTCAATAAAAATACGTATCGCTTGTGCTTACACCACTTAGCCTATCGCCGATGATAACTAGATAGATAAATAACTACAGGATGTCTATTTTTTGGATAAATTTCATATTTATGTATAGGTAATTGGAATGGCACAACGTTTGTATATAAATATCTGTATGATTACTAAAAAAATCAAGGAAAGAAAGGTTTTTTTTTCGAGTATTATTACTTTTATAACATTTATTCAGACATTAGACTATTGATGAAGACATTGGAAAATTTTCCTGAAATGTCAAAGTTTGAGGGTAGGTATGAGGGCCACTCGGGCCTGCACCGGCATCGTCCATATTTAACAAAACTTTACAACAAAAATAAAACAATAACAACTTAATCACGGAAAACGGCAAAACAACAAGAAAGGCATTCACAATCGATGACAATGCCAGATTACGTATTTTCACAATTATGAATACATTATAGTCTGACAAAATTAAAAAGTTGTACTGCCGAAACGTGTGAAGGGATTAGGCAACGTTTTAAATTTGGTAGAGTTATAGTGACATGAGAATCGTGCCTAAACTATTCAACCCTGCTTCTTTAGGTTCTTTAAGATAAACACTTTTTATTGTTCTAGTTATTAAATTTTAAAATGAAAATAATAATGAACAATCGACGTAATAAATACATTTTAAATCGAAAAAAATGAAGCTTAATTTATTTATTAAATTTTATTGCAATACAACCAAGGTTGGTTTTCATGCCATAAATATTCTCTTCCAGTCGACCGGTATGGATGACTAATAGAATGCTATACGGACGCAACAAAGATATTATATAAATAAAATGACTGAATGTAAAAATAAATATCAAATAGGTATTAATAACACATAAAATGTGTAATAAATAAATCTGATACGAGGTTAATTTACAATAATGCGATAGTATTTATGAACCAGACTTTTAAATCAAAGTTTCTTGGGGCATTATTAATGATAACGGGTTGGGCATGATTCATCAGCTCTTTTACGTCTCCACTGCAGGAGCCTGTCTTATGGATAATTAAGGAGGCTGGGCCACGACCTTTCACACTGGTGTAATACGGATAGGAGGGTATTAACGACTGCAAATACAGCCCGGACCAACGGCTTAACGTGCCTTCCGAAGCACCGAGTAGCTAGAGATATTATTTTTTTGGTTACTCATCCCGTGTTCGACTGTTGCTCAACATCAACGATCGGGGGCCGGGACGCTAAACCACTACACCACTGAGCTACACGTGCGGTCATGATTGTTAACTTTTAATTTAAATTTGGAAAAATAACCAACCTGTATATCATTCGTGGATACGTATCAATACGAATACATATTAGAGGTTTTAACGTCAATATAAGCCAAATGATTCCAAATTGTTGTATAAATAATACGTTAAGCTTTATGTATTAAATAAAAATGGGCTGTGTGGATTTTTTAGTAAAATATATATTGTTTTTGATAAATTTTTGTATTGTTGTAAGTTTTAATAACAAAAAACAAAAACAGTTGTCATTATTTATAATTTGCACATTTAGTTTTTGTTAACTTTATTGGTTATTTCACAGATAATCGGCGTTTTCATAATGATTTTAGGGTCAATTTTTATACACTACTTAAACGTCTTAGATGAAATTTTCTACATCCAGGGTAGTGTCGAAGAGTGGATGATAATAATTGGCATTGGATGTATCATATTCATAGTTGCATTCTTCGGATCTTGCGGGGCAGTTGGAGAGCATCCATTTCTACTAAAGACGGCAAGTATTACAGTGATACACAGGATAAAGTTGCGTTGTTTACTGTAAATAAATCGGAGATAATACGATCACGACTGTAACTTTTACCGATTTAAAAATCGAAAAGAAGTACATTCTATGTTCGATGGGTATGTATTTTTTATTTATGTTCACCGATTTTCAAAATTAGATAGGTTATGGGCCTGAGGTGCTATATGGCCCATACAAATTTTATCGAAATCAATTAGTAGTTTTGTTTTAATAACAAAATAACTGGAAGCATTTTGCCAAATCCCAAAAAAAATATTCAAAATGATATATTTATATATCCGCTCCCTGTCAACGCCTACGGAACCCCCGCAATCTTCGTTTGTAGGTTCTCAGCAACTTTTATAACTTTTATATCAAAGTTACATGCACTTAATATCACTTCTTCTATAAATTATGAAAATTTGTTTGATATTTGACATAGTTTATTTCTTTGCATTTAACCTACAATCAAAATAGTGCCACCTAGTGGTAGTCAAAATCGGGCCATTAATTACAGGCATTTACACGAAGCCAATACTCGAGACAACCCAATAAGCCAGTCCAGTAAAATATGAAATTGTTCGTTTCATTGGACTGACTTGATTACTGATTTTGGGATTGTCTTCATTTACCGTACTGTATTCTGTACTAGCTTACTGGATTGCATCGGCTATAGGCCTCGTGTAAATGGACCATTAAATTTTTCCAGTATGGTGTGCTACTATTAGTAATATCCGCTATCAAAATTTACATAGTCGTTAGAACATATAGAGTACAATCTGAGGCGGAGAATACACTAGAGAATGCACTATACGCTGCTTTCGAAGATCCAAACCGAAGACAAGGCTTCTTTATAGTGGAAGTTTTTGTAAGTTACTAATTTTAATCTTATATGTTTTTATTTTATTGAACACTTGTGAATTGTATCTCACGCGCTTATTTTATGGAAATTGTAATAGTAAACATAAGACATACTCGTATTTAAAACATATATTATCGACCCTCCACCTTACAGCTATATACAATATATAAGAAAATAGTGAATTCATTATAAGATAATAATAATAAATCAATAAGAAATTGAAATTTTTACTAGATTTTTACCCTGGAGCTTTGTAGGTAATTATAAAAATAAGGTTATCACTGAAAGGCATTTTAATTTTATCAAATTTCCTTACTTTTGTCCCACCGCTAATGCTGGGTACGCCCGTGTGTACAACAGTAACTTATTATAAAGAAGGTACCTCTTTAGAAACTGTTTATAAATAACAAGGCATCACAACCAGATTAGGTGCCTAACTGGGAAAATATAAATTGACACATTTTTCCAGGAACCAATGACGATGTGGTATACCACATAGGTATTTAGACCTGATTTTGCCTGACATAACCAATTTTTTATTTTTTTATCAAAACAAAATGTTTTCTTAATGAAAATGCTTAAAAGCTCAGTGGTTAAAGCAGTTGCCCGGATTGCAAAAGGTGATGGGTTCGAGTCCCATCTCGGAGTGCCACGGACAAAGTGGATTTTTTAAGCATTTTTCATTAAGAATAGTATAGCATTGCGAATGCAAATTGATAAAATATAATAATAAAATGTTTGTTTATCTCTACTGTTTTTGGTTTTGGATGAATAAAGAGTTGGAATATACGTAATGGGGCACCGAAAAAACTTAGCAATTTTTCGATCAAATTTCTAACCTAACCTAACCAAATCTTTAATACAGTAATATAGTAAAATCAAAAAATATACAATTTACGGAAAAAGTTACATAAACTCCAACAGAATATTATTATTTCAGTTTCAATGCTGCGGCCCTCGAGGTGCCATGTCGTACAAAATAGCGAATCTCGATATCCCGCCCAATTGCTGTCCAATTATCGAGCTGCCGTCTATTAGAAATCTGCAGGACATCCTCATCGTCCGAGATTTAATCGCCAATTACAATGGCACTCCATGCACTCGGATAGAAGCCTTTGAAGGTTGTACAACTGCGGCGCTAAACTCGGTGTACTTGTATTATTCCATTATAAGTACTAGCACCTTGGTCCTTGTAGTTATGGAGGTAATTGCTGTCTATTATTAACGAGATAACTGAATATAACCGACATTGCTCGAAGGATTGCTCAGTTGAAGTGACAGTGAGCGGGGCACATAGCGAGAAGAATTGTTGGCTGTTATGGCGGAATAGTTCTCGAATAGCGACCACGTGCCGGACGACGCTCAGTGGGTAGGCCCCTAAGTGTACCTACGATCTATAGAGGTCGCGAGAAGCCACTGGATGCGGGCAGCGCAGGACGGATCGTCGTGAAGACCCATGGGAGAGGCCTATGCCCCGCAGTGGGTGTCGAACGGCTGATATGCTAATAATGATAAACTATATATGTATGTTCTTTACTAATATAATAATCAGATATCAATTGATAAAACAAAATCATTTACCTGTTCTAAAATCAATAATCAATTAAAGTTTCTTTATTCTTTTTTTCAGTTAATTGCCATGGTTTCAGCCTTTTACCTGTCGCAGCACTACGCAAATCAAAAGAAAAATATTAAAGGAAGAAGTACTACCAACAGGATTAACTAACAATAATTAACCCACCCCCAATGATGTATAAAATAGTGCCTATCATCCAATACGAAATGTTGCCGCTTTACTCAGACTTTTTGTAGTTTATATCAATTAGTTACGAACAATATAAATACAAATATATTTTTTCTGAATACGATGCATATTTTCATCAGCTAAACCGTACTTTCTTTAACATTAACTTTCTTTAAATTTAAAAATAAAGCGATAATTAATTCAGTGTAATGTAAACCGACTCAATGAATATTAAACTTTAAATTTATAGCTTAGCAGAACCTCGTAATCGAGATATAGAAATCCTACAAAAGAGATATTCTGTCCCGTTTCACTCATAAATTAAAGTAAAAAGTGGTAACCCTTTATCAAAGGGAGGAGATGGAAAAGCAAATTCACTAATTCTGGGGCCTCTTTTAAAGATATATTAGCGGTCTGAACCGAGACAAAGAAATAAATTGTGTCCGCGATAAATTCTCCGAGAATTGTTTTAATTACTCATTTTATTTCAAGAATAGATTTGTTATGAAAAAATTATAATAATTATATTCAATTTGTTGGGTACTCTTGTAGGTGTAGATAAATACAATAATTACATCCAAAGCCCATTAGTATAATTAGCTAAAAATAGAGAAGCATGGTTACACAGAAAGAAAAATTAAAATAAATTATTATGTAATATTATTGTAATAAATTCTTAAAGATACCGGCTTACCTACCAAAATTTTCTGATATTTTGACTTAGATAGCATCAGCCAGCCAGTGACGATGGCCTTTGTAATACATAATCTCTCTCTAAATACTCTTGTAAGTTAAAATAACATGGAGAGTAAAACGATAAAATATAAAAGACAGACAGCCCTAACTAGGAAGATATGGTAGTTAATACCTAAAAGAAGGAAAAATATCTCACAAAGTGGAGTGGTCGCATTACACACATCAGAGAACTGAAATCTCGCTTTGACTAACCAACAGCCACGAGTGTTATTTTAATTATCAACATTATTTACCTTAATTAGAATTTTAGCGAGAGCTCTTGTATCCGCAGGAGGCGGCAAATTGGCAGCACATTTTGAATGTACCGTATATGAGGGTTACCATGAACCATAAACATTAAAAGAAAAATAACTTTCTAAACTGTCTCTGATCTGGGTGCTGTGGTATCTTCGTTGATCCAAATTCCCGTGATGTGCTTTAGCTACTTAATTTGTTATATGAGCAACATATGTGCAGTTGTGTAATATTAATTTATTAATTATAATTTGTAAACAGTTAATACCTGTCTGGCAGTCTGTGATTGTGGTCATATCATAACGGTTTGCCAATTTATTTAACGATTTAAATAATTTTCTGTTTGCTTAGTATAGTTTTGATCGCAATCTTTAACAAGCACAAGTCAGTTCAAAGTTTAAAATAAAATAAGATAAGCTTTATTTGCGTTTGTTTAAAACAGTACCAAAACTCTATAATACTCACTATAGAGAATGGGCAATACATTTAATAATATATTTCTGTAAATGAGGATTGAATTATAAGTGAATCTTCATCCAACTATTTTCAGAAAATAACGTAATTCTTTTCAACTTAGAATTTAATTTATTTGCCCAATTCTACTTACACATAAAAGCATATCTGGATCAACTTAAATGATGGTGTTATTAGTTGATACGTAATTAGGGTGCAGTTTTAGCAAAACTGAAGAGCGCGCTTGTATATGCAGCTGTATGCGATAGAAGCCTTCAAAAGGTATGCAATTAAATCGCGGGAATAAACGTTACCACCATTGAGGATGAGGAGGATAAATTACGTAATTAGCTCAGAATATGACGTCTAGGTAATTCACTATTTGGTACAGGGGTGTCGCAAAGATACAAACGGAATAATAATAATTGAAATTATTTCCTCTGAAAAGCTTTGCATTATACTGTTAAATCAAAACATCAACGATGTATAAATTTCTTTAACTATACATTTTTATTAGTATAGGTATTCTAAAGTAATAATAACTAAACTATTATATTTCCCATATCGATTTTGATCTTATCTTTTTAAAAATAAGGTTTAAAATCAGTTGTAAAAATTAGACAGTTCTGAATGATCAGTTAACAGTACATCAGCACGCGTAGCATGAAAACTGGAGAAACGCTTTGCCTATACCAAATTATTTTCGTGTCGAGTGAGATGTTATGTAACATTTGGTGTAGACAAAACGTTGCGTCGTACAGATTATCCAAACCTGCCATATTTTGCAGTCTAAATATACAATATTTTCCTAAAATTTAACAGTTAAGAATAACATACGTATTACTCTATGTAGTCATATAGTTAAAGTATAATCAGCGTATAAGTGTCTGCAGTGATTTTTAAACAGCTTGAAATCTAAGGCAAATACGTCCGTCTATATCTCTTCGGATGCAGGACATGGTACTTCTATCTTCCAGAAGTTTGAATGTGGCACACTTGCTTAACATTATTTGATAAGATATTAAAATTCAAGGGAACATCAACTCTTAATTAAAGCTCCAATGGATTAATTAATAAACTAATAAGTCAGTTCCTGATAATGATTCATTAGTTTTATAATTACAGTTTAACTCAATGCAAGTATTGTTCGTTAATTAATATTGCTGTGTTAGCATTCCCATCAATAGTGATTGTAGTGCTAGTGTCAATACTGACCAGCAGGTCAATCAAACATTGAGCGGATATTAAAACTGATACTTTACAGGCAATACCGATCAATCCAATTTCAAATGACTTATGCGAACCATTTTTTTTTATTATGGCTCTTTATTTTCATCTGTTTGTGTCCATAAATCTTAAAATAACGTTAAACAAACAAGAATCAACTCGTAAGTACCATCGCAGAAAATATTTATGCAGTAAATATATTATTTAAATACAGACAATTTATAAGTAAGAAGTAAATAATATGAATCGGTGATAACTTATATTATTAAAAAAAAGAAAGAAATAAGAAAACAAATACAAAAATTTAACCATCTTTAAAAAAATCGTAATAAAGAGAAACGACAGAAAAGAGAGAAATAATACCACAAATTCTTCAATAAAACCGGAACACAAAAACTGGTTAACCTAAATTTTTTTCTTGAGGTCGATTCAGATATTAAAGAAAAATAGCATGTATAGTAAGTGAAAAATAGATTTTCTGACAGCGCTACGAGTATTTTACTCCTTATTTATGACACGGTTGTTTAAAAAAGAATTGTTGGTGTATCCACTTTCTGTGTTTCTATTTTATTGAAGATAAAAATTTGTAGTTTTCTCTCTTTTCTGTCGTTTCTCTTTATTACGATTTTTTTGAAGTCGGTTTAATTTTTTTGAAATTGATTTTCTTAGTATCGCAATCAACGATTTATATAGAATAATCGTAATACATATTACTACATAGCATAGTCATAAGTAATAATAAGGGACGTAAAAGAGCTGATCATAATGATTTTCATGAGGACCTTGATGGCGTAGTAGTTAACGAGTTCGGTCTGCGATGCGGAATTTAAGCAATTTTCTTAGTTAGCTCTTTGACACCCACTAATCCGCACTGGGCCCCGTGGTAGTTCATGGTCCATTCTCCCTATTCTATTCGATTCCATCCATAGCGACACGTCCTGTGCCTCAGCAATAGGGATATTAAAATAAAGATCATTACTAAGTAATTCAATTACTATATTTAAATCACCAATTCAAGAGCATAAAATAAATACTGTTACCAAATATAAATGGCGACCACAGTCGAGTGGTTCGCACGTCGGTTTCAAGGTTTGACACCATCACTAAGTTCAATAAAGAAAAAGGACTTTTCTTGGGTCTGGGTGTTGTGGAACCTCCGTTGTCTCAGATAGCTTTAGCTACTCAACTTGGAATCTGAGCAATGTAAGCGATGTTGTCTAATATTTGTTTTTATTTATATAATACATGATATACAAAACAATAGTGGAAAATCTATAATACGTTGGTATATTTCTATACAAACGCCTCTGTAAAGGCATTCTTTAGTTAGATAAGGGTGATCGAGTTGGGTTTTGACCGACCCCGTACTGTTCACGTTAACTCACCGCTGAATTAGAAGTAGAAGTTATCGGCACGCAGTAAATTTCCAAGCCTTAAACTACGTCTTTATCTTCCGTACGGTGTTTCCAGAAAGATATGTTTTGTCAAATTTAATTGTTTTTTTTTTTTTTTATGTATAGGAGGGCAAATGACTGCGCTCCACCTGATGGTAAGCGGAGGCGTAGTCCAAACGTGAGGACAGCTAGTGAAAACAGTACGTAGGTACTGCACTAGCCAACCTCACCTTGCCGACCTGCAAGGTGCTTCTTCACGCCCCGCTTGAAGGACCCCATGTCATAGGAAGGAGGGAATACATGGGCCGGGAGACAATTCCATTTTTTGGTAGTACGACAAAGAAATGAGTCGCCAAATTTCTTTGTACGCGAAGGAATCGCTGCCACAGTTAGTTGGTGGCAACGCAAACCAGCACGTGTGGTCCTGAGGAGGAAGGGAGATGGAGGGATAAGCGAAAAGAGTTCTTCAGAGCATTCACCATGGTAGAGACGGTAGAAGACGCTGAGCGAAGCAACGTCTCGGCGCAGTTGCAGGCTTTCTAGGTTCTTGGTGACTTCACCATTGCCAATAATGCGTACTGCGCGGCGCTGCAATCTATCCAAAGCATCGAGTAAGTACCTAGCGGAGCCATCCCAAAGGTGCGAGCAATACTCCACGCATGACCGGACCTGCGTTTTGTATAGCAGGCACAGTTGTTCGGGCGTGAAAAAACGCCGCACCTTATTCAGGACACCGAGTTTACGAGATGCTGTTTTAATAACGGACTCGATGTGGTTTTTGGGATTCAGATCACAGCGCACTTCCATCCCGAGCATGTTGATGCTGCTCTGTAGAGGCAAGGTTGTGCCCTGAAGAGAGGGAAGGGAAGGGAATGGAGGGGTCTTGGCGGTAAATACGCAAACCTGAGTTTTCTTGGCATTGAACTCAACCAGATTTTCAGCACCCCATTTCGA